CACAGCTGCAGCCGTGAAGAGACGCCGTTCACAGCATCGCAGTGCGTCCGGTAGCGCGAGCCTGTTCACAGCTGCAGCCGTGAAGAGACGCCGTTCACAGCATCGCAGTGCGTCCGGTAGCGCGAGCCTGTTCACAGCTGCAGCCGTGAAGAGACGCCGTTCACAGCATCGCAGTGCGTCCGGTAGCGCGAGCCTGTTCACAGCTGCAGCCGTGAAGAGACGCCGTTCACAGCATCGCAGTGCGTCCGGTAGCGCGAGCCTGTTCACAGCTGCAGCCGTGAAGAGACGCCGTTCACAGCATCGCAGTGCGTCCGGTAGCGCGAGCCGAGCGACTCAAGCAGCGGGCGGGTCACGGCCTCCGCCGCCGCCCGCGCCTCGCCGTCGGGCATCGCATCCACCGCGAGGAAGTACTCCTGTTCACAGCTGCAGGTGTGAAGAGACGCCGTTCACAGCATCGCATCCACTGAGAGGAAGTACTCCTCGACGGGCGACGCCACCGCCAATGAGCAATTGCGGCGCTCGAACGAGCCGACGATCCGGGAGTAGAGCGCGGCGCTCGCAAACATGCACGAGGAGGCGGCGGCGGCGGCGGAGGAGGAGGAGGAGGCGGCGGCGGGCGTGTGCGGCGCGAGGACGGCGCAGAGCAGCAGCCACGACTGCGTGAGAAGCTTGCGAAGCGTCTCGCGGAACGCGGCCGCGTCGGCGCCTGGCGGCGGCGGTACTGCGTCCTCCCACGCAGGGCCGGGGTACGGCGCCATGGCGGCGTCGGGCGAGTCGCCGGCCGCGAGGCGGCGGAGCACAGCGGCGGCAGACTTTGCGGCGAGCAGAAAGATTGGGTTGGTGGCGCGGGCGTGCCTAAGAGAGGGCGGGGGCACCAGAGGTCTACGAGAGGTAGGGAAACCGAACCGCAAAGAACCGCAAGCCCACGAGCAGGCGAGGGGGGAGGCGGGGCGGCGCGGGAAGGGGTATCGGGCTGCTCGATCTCCGCTCGATCTCCGTGCAGCGTCGACTCACGAGTCTAGCAGAACGAGTCTAGCAGTTCTGGTCGGTGGCGACGGGCGTGCCGTTGGAAACGCTCGAGCGGAGAGACCGCCTCGTCCAGCAGGGGTGTCTCTCCATCCTCGTCCCCGTCGCCGCCGCCGCCGCCGCCATCACCACCACCGGTGCTGCTGCCACCACCGCTGCTGCCGCCGCCGCCGCCGCCGCCGGCTAAACCCGACTGAAGCGAGAGCTGACTCGAGCTGGCCCTGGTCGCGCCTCTGCTCCGCCTATCGGACGTGTCGCGGTCGTGGACGTGTCGTCGACGTGTCGTGGACGTGGTGGCGCCGTTGGGCGTGCGGCCGTGCGAGAGCACCATCTCTTGACGAACTCTGGGCGACATCTCGGCTATCTCTCGGCCGTCGCCTCGCCGCCCGCGGTGCTGTCGCCGCCGCCGCCGCCGCGCTTGCCGAGGCCGCCGCGACGGCTGCAGCTTCCGGGCTGTGCAGCAGGGCCGGGGCAGAGCAGGCAGTGGTGCTCCTACTGAGTCCAGCGGACCACAGCTGAGTGCGTCTCCTCTCGAGTGCCGGTGTGACTACACAGACCCGTATTCAGCTTTCTAGCGTGCTGCTCCTGCATCTCCGCCTCAGCGCACGCCCTCGAGCAAAACTTGAGCCCGCAGCCCCCCGGGCAGGGAACCGGCTCGCGCAGCTGGCGCACGCCGGCCACCTCTGGCAGCCTACCCACTCGTCGCGCAGGTGTCGTGGCCGCACCGGCTCAGAGACACGTCCCGGGGCTGTCTCGGGAGGTTTCTCGGGGGTTTTCTCGGAGGTGTCTCGGAGGCGTCTCGGAAGGCTCACCGGAGCGCCCGCAAATCGGTGCGCGGGAGCAGTGCGCAGAGCTGCCGCTCGAGCGGGCCGAGGAAGGCGCAGCACCGCTCGCACGTCTCGACGCGGGCACGGCCCGGCTCAGCCATCGCGACGAGTGGGCGCTCTCGGAAGAGCACCGTGCCGCGTGGCAGCGGCCGCGTCGCAAAAAGGCCCTCGCCGCGGCCGGCGCCGGCGGAGCGCACTTCGATGCCTTCGCTGACGTCAAAGGCGCGGTCGAAGGACATGCTGGAGGGAAAGGGTGAAGGGGATGGGTGGATACGGAATGGGTGGATACGTGGGTCCAGCGCTGGCTTCCGGCTGTTTAGGGGTAGGGTAGGGTGCGTATGTTTGTGCCCTTGGCACCGTGGAGTGCTGGGGGGGGCGACAGGGAGGATGTGGCCCTGAGTTATGTGTACGCCGACTCAGGGTGTGTGGCAGCCAGATGGCTGTGTGTCTTGTGAGCTTTTGTGTCTGTGTGTCGCTCGTGCGTGTCGTCATCATCTGTCCAGCGTCCACCCATACCGCGTTGGTGTCCAGTCCGAGCCTGGCTGTTCTTCACCTTACTACCTACCTACCTACCTACGTATGTACTGCAGGGGTACATGCCTTCCACCGTGGCTTCTCAGGCCGGGGGAGGGGGGAGACCTTCTGTTCCTCGCGGAACGGGAGCAGGCCCCTCCTTGCCCGGTCAGCGAAGCAGGGCGGTGGTCGTGCCATCTTCGCTTCACAAGGACCACGCCGCAACCGTCGCCGGCGTGCGACACGTTCCCGTAGGCCGGACTGTCCTGGTCGAGAGTGTGTGCCGCCAAGGCGGGGCTACTCGGGGACAGTGCCGACCGACGGGACGCGGCTCGAGAGACTTGGCCTTTCCGAGGGTTTCCGGCAAACCCAGAGGGAAACCAGAGGGTCCCCAGCACTTTGCGTTTCCGGAAGTTTCCAGGGAAACCAGAGGGTGTTTGGTGCTCCATTCTGTTTCTCTCGAGTTTCCCTCGGGTAAGACACGACTCCTCCCCCCCCCCCCCCCCCCACACACACACGCCCCCCGCTCCCTTCCCCTTAGAGCCCCGTTAAGCAGCGTTTCTTTGCGGAAAATCATTAGTGGCGCCCTTAAACTCTTCTCGGTGCTGTGAGAGGGGCTTGTGTTGTAGAATTCTTGGCAATTTTTCGGTGCTGGTAGCCCCCCAAAAACAGGCGCGCGCAGCGCGCCCAGGGGCGCCGCAGGCGCCCCAAGCGGCGCGGAGCGCCGCCGCAGGCGGCGGACAGCAGGTGCGCGAAATTAAACGCCATTTTCGGTTCCGCGGTTTTGCCACTAACATTGAAATCCGGTACAAAACGACTTAGCCGAAACAGCTGACAGACAGACAGAGAGCACACACCGGTTCGAGACGGGGGTGCGCCGACCGCCGTCGCGGACCCGGTAGAGCTAGATGGTCCCACAGGACGCGCTCTTAGCCTCTGAGCTCGTCCTAGACGTTTTAGGGAAGCGTGGGCAGACCAGAACGCGGCCACGGCGACGCTCCGAGGCTGTCAGCAGCGCTGGCGGCGATCGTGGCGACGGCGCCTCGCCGCTGCAGCGGCACAGAATCGAGGAAGTGGCGTTGGTGGCAGCATCAATGAGATATGAAGGCGGCCGTAATGCTGGTGGCGCCTTCGAGGTCGGCGGAGAGGGCGGTAGCAGCGACGGCGATCGAGTCATGTGGCAGGGGGGCGAAGATGCAGCAGGGAGGCTTGAGTTAGCGACGCGGGGCGGTGGCGTGCCAGCAGGTAAGCGGCGGCGGCGGAGAGCAGGTGCGCGAAATAAAGGCCAATCTTGAGATATCCGTTTTGCACCACCTTTGGATTTCTGGTACAAATTGACTTGTGGATCTTGAAGGCACGCGCAAGAGCGCACCAGGCAAGTTGACTGAACCTCGGATCTCGCTGCCGCTAAGCGTGGCGTCGATTATCAAACGAGCGGTGACAGTAGCAGTGGCAGCGGCGGCAGCGTCGACAGGAGCACCTACTGCAGCGTGAAATGTGAGCTGGGAGGCGGGAGGCAGATGCAATAGGAGCGGGAGAGTGAGATCGTCAGCCAGCACGGCAGACCTTTACGGCGCGGCTGCGGGCGCGTTTGCAGTGACATGCGATCCATGTGGTAGCAAAGGCACGGCGGGAGTAGCGTATGCAGGCTGTGAGCGAGGGTGGCGCGTCGCGAGTGGCGGTGCAGCTAGTCGGTGGCGCGGGTGCTGGCGACCGGCAGAGAGATGCAGCCGGCGCGAGAGATGAACCCTGCGGAGAGGCGAGGTGACGGGCGAGCCGCGACCGTGGGAGAGGGCTGAGCATCGGCTGCACCGGAGGCACAGGAGCCTCGCACGCCCGACCGTGACGAGAGCGCCCTGACGCAGCTCAAGCAGCGTCAGGGCGCTACCAGCACCGAATGGGTAGGCTCGCCGAATTCTTCTCGGTGCCATTGCTCGCACCAGCCGCCATGGGCTTCTCCTTCGGCCGCAACAAGGATCGCGTCACGTGCTCTCTTTAGTCGGCGGACTTGTATGCACTGATGCAGTGGTGGCACTCGCTGCTGTCCGCCGACCCGATCTCACTCGACCCTCTCTGCGACCTCCCGTACCCGCCCTTTGTCCTCTCCGCCGACCTGACGCAGCGATCGGACAACGACTACTTTGACGGGCACATCCTCGCGCTCTACCTTGTCAGCACGGGCCAGTTCACCCACCCTGTCTCGCGGCGGCAAATCACGAGGGAGGAGTGCGCGGCGCTCGATCGGTATTTGCTCGAGCACGGACTGGACGCTGCGCAGGTCAGCCGCCGCCCTCGCCCTCGCCACCGCGCGCCACCGCTGTCCTCGTCGCCACGCTCACCACCCTCGCCTCCGCCGCCCTTTGCCAGGTGGAGCACGTCTGCGTGCACTGCGCAGCCGGCACGAGGATCATCCGGTCGCCCGCGATCACGCAGCTCCGCGCGGAGGCGGCGCTGGTGCTGCAGGCGCTCTTTCGGGGCGAAGGCGCCGGCCCAGGCTCGCGCCAGCCCGAGCCGGTCCCGCGCTGGGAGGGCGGCCTCGCGGTGCTGGACGACGACGACGCGCCGAGCCACGCGGTGGCGGCCATGGGGGAAGACGGCAGCGCCTCTCCTTCCGACGACGAGGACGCCTCCTTCCCGCCCCTTCCGACTCACCCCTGCCGGCCGGCCCCGAGCGAGGAGAAGGAGCCCGCCTCGAGCCAAATCTCCTCCGGCCAAACCTCGTCCAGCTGGCTCGAGGCGGCTGGCAGGGAGCTCCCGCCGACCCACCGACCTCTGGTGCCGCCCCAAGCACAAGGCATGCCCCCCCCACGTAACATGATTAGGAAAATGTATCGGCTTACGTACAATCGACCGACAGGAAGCTACGTCCGTAGGCAATGCGCCTCCTCCGCCCCTTCCGCCGGCTGTGCCCGCTGTGGCTGTGGCTGTGGCGGCGGCGGCGGCGGCGCACTCCACGTCGCGGCTGTCGGGTGCCTCCTCCTCCTCCTCCTCCTCCAGGGTCGAGAGGCGCGTGGCGGCGAGGCAGTGGCGCGAGGGCTCCCGCCGCCTCGGCCTGCTCTCTCTGCCAGAGGAGGTTCTTGCGACTCTGAAGGCGCAACCCGCGGCACCCCCCCGCCCGCCTCGCCGCTGCCCGTCTCGCCGCCGCACGCCCACCCGCGCGCCGCGACAGGTGTCTGAGGCGTTCACTGCGGCGCTGCGGGGCGAAGCCTTGGCGGCGATGGTGGCGGCGGCTGTCGGCGTGCCGTGCACGGCCGGTGGCGGCGGCGACGAGGGTGACAACGGTGGCGGCAGCGCTGAGCCGGGTGCATCCCGTGCAACCGCGCTGCAGGATGAGGAGGAGCAGGCGTCGGAGGAGGAGGAGGAGGAGGCGGCGGGGGAGGAAGGGGCGGCGGGGGAGGAGGAGCCGGCGGAGGCCTCTTCCGCCCGAGGGCCGCTGCTCGCCTTCCGCGACTCGCTGGGCGGCCACTACGTCGTGCACCGCGCCGTCCTCTGCGGCGCCTGCCAGGAGCCGGCCCTCCTCCTCCGCCAGCTGGCCTCTGCGCGCCTCGCCTCGCCGGTGTGGGCGGTGCTCCTCTGCAGCGGCGGCCGCTTTGCCGCCGCCGTCTTCGAGCTGAGGCGTTGCGGCGGCGGCGGCGCGGGCTGCGCCGCCCGCCGAGCGACGGCGCGCCTCGTGGCGCACAAGACGATCCACCGCTACGTGACACGGCGCGGGCAGGGCGGCCGGCAGAGCAGCGCCGACGGCGCCAAGCACATCTCGTCGGCCGGCTCCTCCCTCCGGCGCCACCACGAGGCGGAGCTGGCGAGGGAGGCGAGGGAGTTGCTGTTCGCGTGGGCGCCGCTCCTCCGCCGCTGCACCGTCATCCTCACGCACGCGCCCGGCCCGGCCAACGCCGCCGTGCTGCACGCCTCGCCCGCGCCGCTGGACAAGGCCGACCGCCGCGTGCGCCGCATCCCCTTCGCGACGAGGCGAGGCGGACTTGTCCTGGACATGCACACGCACACGTACACGCACACGCACCATGCACATGCACATGCACAGGCACAGGCACATGCACATGCACATGCACATGCGCACGCACCATGCACATGCACATGCGCATGCGCATGCGCATGCACATGCATGTCCACCGCCCGTCCATGACAACAGCATGTGCATGCACATGCACACGCACACGCACACGCGCACACGCACACGCACACGCACACGCACACGCACACGCACACGCACACGCACACGCACATGCGCATGCACACGCACATGCGCATGCACATGCACATGTACATGTGCATGTCCCTTTGCGATGAGGCGGCCGACCCTCGACGAGGCGAAGCGCGTGGTGGAACGGCGCGCGCCTCTCCGCGCCGCCTCGCCCGCACCCCTCCCCTCCGCACCGCGCCGCGCCACTCCCCGCGCCCTCAACCTCCGCGCCCTCCTCGCTCAGGCTGGCGTGCGCCGACTACATCGCGCCGGACGCGTCGGAGGAGGTGCTCGCCAACGCTGCGATCGCCGCCGCCGCAGCGGCGCCCGACGCCGAGGCGGAACGGTGGGCGGAGGCAGCGGCAGCCGCGGAGGAGGCGGCGGAGGGGCTGCGAGCGGCGGCAGAGGCGGAGGCGGCGGCCGCGGCTGCGGCGCTCGAGGCCGCGGCGCACGCGCTGCCACGGGGGATCCGCGACCTAGATGCTGCACACTCGTATCCCTGACGTGTCCGAAGAGGCCACCGGCCAA